AGCTTTCGCTGTAAAATGACTGATGTTGATCGCCTGGATTTGCTCGCAAGAATTGGGATTTGTTTTAAAATCAGAGCAGAGGGAAGCTTTGAAGTTGCTACTCAGGGGAAAGGATGTTTTCTGTGTTCTACCAACAGGATTTGACAAAAGCCTTATTTATTGGATGTTTGTTCATGCAAAGAGTTCTTCAAGTTCCGTGCAACGGCCGACCGCCATTGTTATCTCGCCTGGCTAAAAAAGCGGGATCGGTAGGAAACACACACGATTTACCTCATGCAAACATGCCGCTTGTCTGTCGAGTAGAATATGCTTTGGAGGAAAACGTTTTGACTGAGGAAATGTGAATTTTGGCTGCTTATTAAATATATTTCATACTGAGAGGTTGTGACACGCATATTGATTTTCTCTGGTAGGCATGATTTGCCCTCTGACGCAAGAGCATTTTCTTTCTTGGCCCCTTTAGAAATGTAAAGCTCTTCATTGCGGCTGATTAAGGATTTTAGGTTGTTTTATTTCTCCAAAGTGCCTCCTGGATTTGAATAATTTTAAGCGATTTTCTTTGGGTCCGTGAATGTGACTTTTTCCTGCAATGTTTTGTCACTCTGGGCCCAACTCGTTAGCGTTTTTGGCAGGATTTTAAATTCTCACAGAGAGTAATTTACAGAGCTAAATCACCAAGACGTGGTTTAGAATGAGCGGATTTACTCATTCTTTTCAATCGCAATAATTGTCCATTGTCAGTTGGCGTGTTCAGTTCTTCTCTAATTTGCAAAAGCATCGCCGTGCAGTTTCCCGGGGCAATTTCTAACCGTTGTTCTGCACGGAGAGCAAACTGCCTTTGTGGAGAAAGATTCTCCTTCCTCGAGGACAACGAAAAGTTCGTTTTTCAGTAGGTCGGCCCACTTTGGTAACGTTTCCCCTTTTCTGGTAAGCGCAACAAGCGCATTTTCCGAGCTTATCCATCCATTCGTAAAATTGCCGAACTGTGTTTTGAAACAACAGCCACACATTCTACAATTTGACCAAAACCCTCGGTTCTTTCGGCTTTTTCCCTCTTCGAGGAGCAGGCACAGGCTTTGTTGTCGTACTGCCACTTTCACTCATTTTTGATCCTCCACTATATATACTACATTTCACTATATACACTACATTTCACAGGGAAGCAACGCTAAAAAATGCTTTAGAATTACTGGATTACAGCGTCAATAATAACACGCGCGTCTATCAAATTCACAAAGAGGGCGGAGTTGCGAACAGATTTTTGACAGCTCGACGACATGTTTGAACTCCCTGGTCGGAACGAACTCATTGTATGGAAAACGGACAGTCGGTTTTTTTCTCTCGCCTCACACGTGTGAGGCTCGCGCGCTTCGCGCGCGTAAGACTCTTACGCCACGCTTTACCGATTTCTTTACTGATTTTGAGAAAAAAAGCCGACTGTTTTGCAGTCTAATTACATGTCGATTACAATTTTTCAAAAACAATCCGTGGCTTAATTCATTTCTTTTAAAATATAATATCTTAGTCTGCCAGTATGGGTCAATTAATATAGCATGGCTCTCAAGGATTGACTCAGTTTTAGTTAGTTGCTTGAGGGATACAGGCTCTGGTCTCCTTGAGGGCAGATCACCCGTTTATTTAAAACCTTGGATATATAAAATGGGGTCGAATAAAGACGTTCAATTCATGCAAAAAAGCTTTGATATGACCTATCAAGAGTCAGACTGTATGACAATTCCCCAACAATAAACTTTCAAAGATAGATTACATGGGTTATGGCAGACACGACATGTTAGAAATTACACAATGACAGGGGGTTACAAGGGGTTTCAAACGGCTCCTCTCCGAACAAACTTGTGACAGAAGCAATAAATGCATGTTTTCCAAGGTCATCTTTAATAAAACAGCAGTGGGACACTGTTAGTCCCTTTTTCTTTCTAAAATGATTCTCCCTTTTCATTGTTAAAATTACCAGTTACAGGTGCTCCTGAAATACACAGCCTCTGGTCAGAGCTGCCCTCCGGTGATGTCAGATGTCAAGATCAGTGTGATCAACCATTACACTGCTGGAAACAGTGATATTTTAAAGGAACAGTATCCCGTTACTGCGCATGCACCAAACTTTGATTTTTGGACAGGATGTCGCGAAATCAAAAGATGCGAGGACAGTAAGAGAATCTTGAAAAATCCGTTTGCATCCCGCTTGGCCGGGTTCAATACGACACTAAAACTTCTCAGGATTATAGATCAATGATATATTGTTCCCGTTAAGTTTCTATTTGGGCAAAATCTGGATTTTTTTGCGTTACTTTTATTGCCGTTGGCCGGAGGACCAAAAGATTGGAAGCACTTTGATGCCGATTGAAGGCTTATTTCTTCTGCTAGCTTCCATACAAGCTCAGTTAATTGTGAAAGGAATACGCAGAAATGAAACAGCAACAATTAAGACTGTAAGAAAGAAACCGTTGAGACATTGATGTGACTGAGGAGATCTTGTGGAGGGGAGCTTGGTGAAGCAGAATGTTTTGCAACGACGCGTTAGTAAACTTTTAAATGAATCTCCCTACGGCCGACAAAATCGAACAAACAGGCGCTACACGTTTTGAAAAACTAGTGACATGAATGATAATATCATTCTTGACTAACCTTTGTGATGATTCATAGCGTTGAGATTGCAATTTTATTTATGTCTCTCAAGCGTTTGAGGCTAGAACGCGAACAAATCAGGCAGATATTACTGGACTTGGAGCGATTGACCTCTGACACGAGTTTCAAATTAGAAAATATGTTTTTAAAGCGAGCGGAACGAGATTTTCGGGTCGCGAGGCGGCCCAGCTAGCGATAAAATCGCGATGAGTCTTCGAACCGCGAGCCAAATTTTTATATAAGACGAAAGACTTCTTCGAAAGTCTAAAATATTACCTGAGAATATGAACAACAAATCTCTGTCGGCGTTGCGGTCCGGAAGGAAATCTTGTCGAGTCAATTTGACAGTTCTATTGTCTTTTGAAGAAAAAACAGATGACGCTCGCGCGTGCGCATAATCGGGACACTGTCCCTTTAACTGCCCCCTCCAAAAACCAAAGCAAAACAGATAAGTGATGCCTCGGCGATGTCGGGATGATGTACCAGTTAATTCCAAAACCATCCACCTCGCCCCCCCCCCCCCAGGCATACTCCAGGCATTTGACTGGAGGCTTACTCCTTACAGTGAGGAATTTGACCCAAATGAGGCTCTCCTGGTCGGTCAATTGACTTTCGTGTCAAAACGCTGCTCAGCGTCTCAAGCCAAAGGTTTTCGTACTTCGTTCATTTAGCATGTGCACCGCGATCACGGGTCATTGCTCCTATATTCACTGTTTTTTCTGAGTATTAGAGAGACTTTGGAGTTGCCCGTTAAATGTGGGGTCTCTGGGCCGGAATGAGCAATTTTATTGAAATGAACAGAACTCCGGAAGACAGCTTTCAAAGACTAAAGATATTTCGGTTGTGTCAAATGGTTGTGTTTAGGAGGATATTTACATTTGAATTAATGGTTTGGAAAATTTTTGAATAGTTGCTTTAAAAAATCTGGTGGGGTTGGCATTTGAAGCTTTTTTAAGCGCTAGCTGGTGGGGCATTTAACCATCTAACTATCAACATACGGGAGAAGTCGACCAAAATCTCTCAAATGCCCAGGAGTATGCCCAGAGGGGGGCCGGGGGGCATGGCCGGTTTTGGAATTGACCGGTACATTTGCTTTAAAACCTTGGATATATAAAATGGGGTGGATTAAAGACGCTCAATTCATGCAAAAAAGCTTTGATATGACCTATCAAGAGTCAGACTGTATGACAATTCCCCAACAATAAACTTTCAAAGATAGATTACATGGGTTATGGCGGACACGACATGTTAGAAATTAAACAATGACAGGGGGTTACAAGGGGTTTCAGAGGGTTGTTATTATTTTCAAATTTTTATGTGAAAAGAGATTTAAACGGCTCCTCTCCGAACAAACTTGGGACAGAAGCAATAAATGCATGTTTTCCAAGGTCATCTTTAATAAAACAGCAGTGGGACACTGCTGGTCCCTTTTTCTTTCTAAAATGATTCTCCCTTTTCATTGCTAAAATTATCAGTTACAGGTGCTCCTGAAATGCACAGCCTCTGGTCAGATATTTCGGTTGTGTCAAATGGTTGTGTTTAGGAGGATATTTACATTGGAATTAATGGTTTGGAAAATTTTTGAATAGTTGCTTTAAAAAATCTGGTGGGTTTGGCATTTGAAGCTTTTTGAAGCGCTAGTTGGTGGGGCATTTAACCATCTAACTATCAACATACGGGAGAAGTTGACCAAAATTTCTCAAATGCCCAGGAGTCTGCCCAGAGGGGGGCCGGGGGGCATGGCCGGTTTTGGAATTGACCGGTACATTTGCTTAGCCCACTGGAAATAGCTAGAAGCTTACGAGGGTTAGCAACGCACTATTGAACTCGATAGAGTATTTTGCCGGTCTTATTTTTCTTGTACATTATTCAGTACCCCTCTGCAATGCATTGATCATGACGTGTCTAACGCTACCTCATCCATGGGCTGTGCTACCCAATATATAGTCTTATATAGCTCTCGGACTCACAACGAAGGGCAGACGCCCCACAACAGAGTATATAAGAAGCATATCTGGTAAGTTTCGTTTTGTTTTGCACATTGTACTTCTTTAAAAGTTTGATAAAGCAATAATCTTTCTGCAATTATCTGTATGCCAAGTTTGTGTAAAATTCAATTCAATTCAATTCAATTCTTTATTCACACTATATAAGATATTTACATAAGTCTACGTAGTAGGAAAATAAAGTAGCTGACAAATAATAATTAACTAAAAGACAATAAGTTCATTTATGTAGGGTGTCCAAAGTAGCAAGAGCTTTCTTGTTGGACACCATCGCGTTGAAATAATTGGCAGCAGTAAAGAGAGGAATAAAATCTCAAATAAAATCAGTGATAGAACATATAAGCAAGGTCAGATTTGGTTGGTTAGAAGACAGAACTTCCATTCTTTCTTAAACTTGTGATATGGCAGACACTTGAGACCAGGCGGTACAGTCGCCCAGATTTTTGGAGCGGAGAATTTAAAGGACGTCTTACCTAAGTTGGTGGATACTCTTGGCCTAAAATAGTTCAGATTACTGAAAAATCTTGTATTATGATTGTGTACACGCGATGCTGGAGTCAGGACATCAAGGAAAATATCTGGAATGCTCTCAGTCTCATTTCTCATTCTATGTATAAAGCAACATATTTTCAATTTATATATATTATCTTATTTAAGGATTGTTAGGAGTTTAAGATAGGGAGCAGCACTCTCTCTAGGATGTACAAAGAAGACGGTGCGGAGACATTTATTATGTTTAATACGAAGACAATGTAATCTGGTTTTGCTGGCACAGCACCAAGCAAGAATACCGTAACTCAAATAGGGATATATTAAAGCATAATAAATTTGTTTCAGTATATTCAGATCTATGTAATATCTTAGTTTTGAAAGGATTCCTAAATTTTTAGCTAATTTATTATTTATATGTTGTATCTGTGGTTGCCAACTGAGATGTTTATCTATATAAACTCCGAATTACTTTATGTAATCTTTCTGTTCAATACCAGTGATATTTATCTTTGGCTGGCACCTAGATGATGAGACTAACATGTAATTGGTCTTTGCAGTGTTAATAGATAACTTATTTATAGCACAATAGTTATAAATTTGTTTAAGCTCTTGATTCATTACGGATTCAAGCTGTTTTAAGTTGCCGCCAGAGTAAAATAAATTGGTGTCATCAGCAAAGCTCCGCACCGAAAGTTTGTCGACACAGTTTGGTAAGTCGTTCACATAGAGCAAAAATAAAAGAGGACCTAGAGTCGAGCCTTGGGGTATACCGCAGGTAACATTTTCATAGCCAGATTTAGTAGAGTCAATTTTAACATATTGTCTTTGATTGTGCAAATAACTTTCAAACCAATTATGTGGTGTACCCCGAATTCCATACAGATATAGTTTAGAGAGCAGTATTTTATGATTTCATGTGTCAAATGCCTTTGATAGGTCGAGAAACAAACCACATGTTATTTGACCTTTGTCAGTAGTTAGCTTCAGATTGTCAGTAATTTCAAGAATAGCTTGTTCAGTGGAATATCCTTTCCTAAATCCAAACTGATATTTGTACAAGATTTGATGTTTATCTATGAACGAATATAACTGATTATAGACTAGACGCTGGAGCACTTTACTAAAAGGTGAGAGAGTTGCTATGGGCCGATAGTTGCTAAGGTCTGTAGCATCACCACCCTTATACACTGGGAAAAGTTGTGAGACTTTTAAAATATCAGGAACAATTCCAGTTTCAATAGACTGGTTATAGATATATGTTAAGGGTTATGACAAAGGCTGGGCAGCTATTTTAATTAATCTATTAGGAATATCTAAGGATGACTTATGATCATTTAAACCTTTAAATAGTGAACATACTTGGGTTTCAGTAACACAGGACATAACAAAGCTAGCTACTGGTGTCGATCGTATAAATTGGGTCGGGCTTCCATCACAATTTTCAATTCTTTTGGCCAGGTTTTGACCCACATTGACGAAATGCTTATTAAATTGATCGGCAATCGCACCCTTATTAGTGTAAGCTCTATTATTACGTTTAATTTTTGAGATGCTTAGTTTTGATTGATTTAAGAATACCGTTAGTTATCCACGGCTTAGTACACAGTTTCTGTTTCTTTTGGGACAATTGCCTAATTGGTGCATGTTTATCTGCAATTGATTTTATCAGGTCAGTTATTTTAGTAGCTGTCTCATGCAGATCATTACTATAAAATGGACGGGTTTAATCCGTTGTCTTTCATGTCATTTTATTATATTTTATTTTCTCACAACAGAGTTTTCTTTTGTATTTGCTTTGTTAGTTAATTTCTCCTTAAGTAAGTAAACATTTAGTTTCAAATTTTTGTTAAATTTTTGGTGACTACTTCTAAATGGTGGAATAGATTGCGTATCTGGCACAGGTTTATGTAATAAAGGAGTTTAATTTCCATCTCAAGCACAAAGCTGATGATAAGGGCAACAGTTCAATTACACCTACTGCCAATGAATAGTTATTTTCACTCAATAAATACCCAGCGAGTTTAATTCTCATACGCGCGCTCGACCATCTCTAAAGAGAAAATAGAGGGTCTGTGAACAGACTACATTTCGGTGTGCTCTCAAGTATGTTAAGGAAGGTATGACTCAAAGCCTATAAATTACAAAAAATCCTTTAAGAAGTTATAACCTAAAATAACATTTACCTAGACGTTGTCGTTAGGGAAGACATTAAACTTGATGTCATTTTTAAAATTGTGTCAACTTTAGAATTTGTGAGTTGAGGGAAATTGACAGTTCTGGGACACAAGTACCCACCATGCATATTTTTCCCATGCAAATCCTCTAATTTCAGCTTATTAAAAATGGCGACCACAAGGATCATCTACCGGTAATTAATATTCTACCAGTAGGTCAAGGACGACTATATGGTTACAGTCAAGGGTACCTATATGAGTAGGTCATAGTCAAGGACGCCTATATGACCATAGTCAAGGGTGCCTATATGAGTAGGTGATAGTCAAGGCACCTATGGGAGTACGATACGTCTAAGTTTGAAGCCGGCAGAGCGCTAAAGTTCAAAGCATGCATAGGCCATGCCTTAACATTATTGAGTAATATGCGATGTATTCCACATACCCCTCTATACAGATTTGATTCTTCCTTGTATTTTTAAGAAAGTCTCTCAAGCATGGGGGTTGGAGTGGTGAACTTGCTTTTCACAGCCGCTTTCGTCCTTCTGAATCCTGTAGCTCATACCTGGGGACTTCGCGCTAGAGTTAAACTGCAGAATAATGGTCTGTCCACTGAGCTTTCAGATGTGTCACATGAGTTAATCCAAAAAACAGTCAAAGACCCCAACGATAAGACGATCGAAGAGGCTCTTGACAGAGAAGTAATTGGAGGGAACTTAAACAAAAAGACAGTCGTTAACCCCGCGTCAACAGACAGAGATGTAGTCCAAAAGTACCTTGACAGAAAAGTAGTGGAGGAAAAAATAAAAGAAAAATGGGAACAATTAAAGAAAGGTTCACCAAAGGCAGTAACGGAAGAAGCGATTAAAAGAGCGGGAAAACTGGTCACTTTCGAAAGAAGTGGACAAATTTCGTTAAAAGAAGCGTTCCAGTTTATGCAGTATTACCCCCTTCTGTACGGTGAAGAAAAACATCCCACTGAATTTCGTGTACCAATCGGAAGCGAATTTCAGAAGTTCAAGCTTGCAAACAAACCCGACGGCACTTTTTCACTGAAAGCTATAAGAAGCGGTGGCTCAGAGGTAGATTTGTCTGATCTCAAAGCTGCAGTTAACATTTTGTCTGACTCTAAACTAAAGGACGCCTTAAAGAAAACGCTCAACGAAGTCACTGTCAAAGCATTAGATGCAAAATTAAGCGATCAGCCGGATTTTGATGTAGTATTAAAAAAAAATGACGATAAAAGCACAGTATCTCCAACAGAAAGAGATGAAGCCTTTCGCGCAGTTACAGATGTTTTGGCTGGTACTTCCATACAGAGGAACAAATTGTTGGGCCTAAATCCATCAGCCTGGCTGCAAAAAACAAACAGTGATATTGAATCAAAAATGGAAGCAGTCAGGCAGACACTTAGCGAGGAAATAGCTGCTGAGGGCAAGACAAAACTGAGGCACGAATTAGTTCAAAGCATGCTCAAATCTAGCCAGCAAGCAATTGACGAGTGGAATAAATTAAAAATCACCGACACAGCACCGAATTCAAAGCAAAAAATCGTAGAGGAAAACCTGGTTACCAAAGGAAAAGACAAAGAATTAAAAGTGACAGTCCACGAGACAGATAAGCTTTCCATAAAAGATATTTTCAGACTATTGCAATTTTATCCTGATATATACGAAAACCAAGGACTATCTCATACAACGTTCGAAGTTCCACTTGGGGGAAAAAGAAGAAAATTTCGTTTGAGCAAGAGTAACAAAGCTGCTCAAAGGGGGGAACATCAAATAGTTGTAACAACATCTGATAAGGATTGGCCTGGCACTACCAAACGAGGCGAAGGCGAGAACGGCGTTATTCATTATCCGAGGTACGACACAATAATTGATGAAGTTCTTAAAAACTTTCCAGACCACAGCAAGTTATCCGCCGCCATGTTGAAGGCTGTGGACAAGAAACTTAACAGTCAGCCTGATTTCTCTAAAGAGTTTGAAATTAAAGGGAAAGAATCCTTAGACACCACCCGAGCTACTGTAGAATTCATGATTTGTACAATGGTGGCCGAAGCGGCGCAACCGAAGGATGAGTTTAAAGCCGACTTTCTAACAAAACTAGCTAAAAGGATACGGGTAAAAAACAGATTCCCAGAAAGAATTCCCAGCTTGTCAACAATGAAAAACCCGACAGGGCGAAGTCCAGCATTGGACGAAGCTGTTAAAGGCATGCTTGAAAACGTCGGACCTACCAAAATAGAACAAGCCTTTAACGAAAACAATTTTCCCTCGAGAGTTAAAGGCGGAGCAGCAAAAGGGCGCGTATTTATGAATCGAAATGGAGGTAGGTTAGTTCCTTCATATCTTATCCGCAAACGTGCTGCTGGCGAATACGATGGGGAGGTTGTGGCTGCAAAGGTCGCCAAACATTGCACAGGGACAAGACGTAGAAGAAAGCGGTTTTCTTGTTCGCTAAATGAAAAAGACTCTGTAATTGTTGACGAGGAGTCTATAAAAATTACTGAAGACCAGGTTGAATTCGATATCGTAGATCGTCGAAATGCGAAAGATCGAGAGCATGTTCGGTTGCAAATTAGTTCAGGCGAACTGGCCTTTCCCAAGCTGATCGTGGACCTAGTAACGAATTCTCGAAGAGCTGGACCGAATGAAGCCTACTCCAAGGTGAACAAAGGTTTAACTGTCCACGGTCTGATATTTTCCGTTCTAGGGGCTGTAAACTACTTTCAGGAAGGCGATAACCTTCGAGCTGCCATTTCCATGGCCCAGTCAGCCCACACACTTGGTGGGCTAACTGGTATTAACGAGATAGTTAACAAGGTCGGGAAAAGAGTTCTTAGTAGTGCAACTAAAGGTTTGGCAAAGGGCTTAAATTTGGAGAAAGGCTTGGAAAAGTTATCCTCTAAAATGGAACGGTTCGCAGAGAGAGGAGTCGGAGAGTTGCTAGGAGACATTCCTGTTGTTGGTCTTGCATTTGACATCTATTTCATTGAACAGGACATAGAGCAGTTAGCCGATTTAAATCTGAATGATCCAGAAGACCTTAAACTATTACCACTAAGAGTCATCGATTTAGGCTTAGATGTTAGCACGACTGTGCTAAACCTTATAGGAACTTTGTGCCCGGCCGCAGAAGTCATTACTGAGCCTCTGGTTATCGTCCTTTCAATAATACGTATGGCTATTGACGACTTCTACATCGATATTATGGTGGAGATGGAGAAAGTTAATTGGAAAAGTCCTTGGGCTGGTTTAGAGTTTCTTGGGGCTCTAGTAAAAGGTTTCTTGGAAGGAGCAGCAGATTTCCTAACGGGCGGTCTACGAAGACAGATGGAGTCTTATAGGAAACAGGAAAACTATGACAAGAAACTTATACAGGATTTGAAAAACTCTGATAACTATTATAAGATTGTTGGTGAAAAGAAGGGGGGTGGGGGTAGAATTGATTTTACCCAAGGAAAACTTTCCAGCTTTGGCGGCTATATCAACTTCAGGCTTCATGATAATAATCGAGCTACTTTAGAAATCGGAGATGTCAGTGGAAGTCATAATACAATTCGTAAGACATTTCAGGTTGGTTCAGATGTTAGAGATATCGTGCTTGGAATAGGAGAGTCGAGGACGTTCGAATACAAACACAAAACCGCCAAGCTGTGGTTTGTTATTCCAATTAAATCATACAGTGTTATTTGCGGTGCAAAGTTCCACGAACAATCAGTTTATGGAACTTATTATGGAAACTCTAAGAACAACACATTTTATGCCGTACAGAAACCAAAGCCAACAACAACACCCACCGGAAAGAAAGGTGGAGATAATTGTAACTTTGGAAAACTGAATCTTAAACTTGTAACCGGAAAATACCATTATAACCTGTATGGGCGGGGTGGTAGCGACACTTTTTACCTCGGACCAGAAATGTCCCGCGTAACAGGTGGATCAGGAAGTGATCTGTTCGTTATCCAATCGGACGGAGGGAAAACGGTAATCGATAATTTTGCTGTAGATAACAAGCGCGACATCATTTTCATCAACGTGGAGTATGGAAAGATAAGATGTTATCAAAGTGGAACTGATCTTGACATCTCTTATTCCAAGAGCCATCACATTCGTATAAAAAACTGGTTCAAACCTGGAGATCCAACCTACTACCGCCATGTCTCATTTCGAAGTCTAGATGGAGTTTTTTCGTCCCAAAACAGACCTTAAATAGCAATGATATCCACTCTGTTCAGTGTGTAGCAGTGGCTCTTGACTTAAGTGCAGCAAAAGCAGCTCAAACTATTTCACTCAATAATTCGAAATTTACACAAGTGAAGCAAGTATCTGGGTCAAATTATTCTGATAATATCATTGGCAATGACGTCAATAACATTCTAGACGGGGGAAATGGGGCTGATTATTTAACTGGAGGAAAAGATGAAGACACCTACATCATCAGAGTGAATGAAGGATGTGATATTATCAATAATGATGCAGCCGATTACTTCAACACGACTGACGTCCTGGTGTTTGAAGTACCCTTTGACAGGATAGAAGTTCAAAAAAAAGGTTATGACCTGTTTGTAAATGACAGGAACAATGCGCAAAGCTCCTGCTTTACAATAAGAAACTGGACCTTAGGATATCGTTACAGGCATATTCTCTTCACGTCTGGTGATCACGTGGTCTTCAACATCTCCACTAGAGAAGACGGGAGTGTATCCAAAGTACCTATCATGCTAGATTATAAAACTTCCGCGACTGGGATCTGTGTGGATCTGTCAGATTCACCCAGTCCGGACTGCATCAAACCAACTGGTTACACCAACGTTGCTACAATTTCCGATTCTCCACACAACGACCACATGGTAGGAAACGCCCAGACCAACTTTTTGAGCTGCACTGGAGGAGAAGATTATCTTGAGGGGGGGGAAGCTACTGACAATTATGTTGTCAAGAAAACATGTCATAAAGCAACAATTAACAATTTTGATAGTCGCCAAAAAATTGATGTAGTGTACTTGGAGGAAACGTTTGTGAACCTAAAACTGAAGAAGGACGGCAAAGATTTGAAGGTTATTTCAAGTCATGGGACACCAACTGTAGTATTTTCTAACTGGTTCGAGTCTCCTGACAACCAGCATCTTGGAATAAGAACTATTGATGGAATAACACTTCGAATAAACAGTAACACGGTGAAACTGGAGCCATATGAAGTGTCTAAGGATCCCAATGAGTGTCGATGTACGCACGTAGGCTGCAACGCGGTGGTAAATTACGATCTTAACAGTCATCCTTGGCACAACGTGCTCCGTTTTGTATTGAAGTCAAGTCACTGCAGTTACAAAATTTATGGGAATAAATTTAACAATTACCTCGACCCTGGAGCAGGCAATGGCTTTAATTACCAGCATTTAGAGGGTAGAAATGGATCCGATACTTACGTGTTAAACCACGGGTATGGGGAGTTTAATGAAATCAACAACTATGCGGATGACAGCAAGACAGATACTCTTCGACTTGGCTTGGAATTTGATGACATTTGTGTGTATTTTCATGGCCGAAATGATGTAATCCTTGCATCAAGTTCGCGACCAGACTCACTCAGTGTTCTTATCCTAAACTACTTCCTTGGTGCGAAGTATCAGCATCTTCAGGTAACATCCGTGGACAAGGTGGTCTTTAATATCAGCAAACAATACCCGTACAAAAAGGTCATCGCCGTTGATCGCCGAATCATTGACTCGCCTCAAAATATTGATCCCCAAAGGAACAGTGTAATCGCATCAGCCCTAGATTTAAAGGGATCGCTTACCTCTGCCAACAATATGACAGGCACCGACACAACAAGAGAGATGGAGGGTGGTGCTGAGGCCGACATTCTACGAGGAGGACAAGAAGGAACCGTTTTTGATGGAAAACATGGTAACGACACGATTTATGGCGGCGCTGGAAATGATATAGTTTTCTGCGGGTATGGCCATGACGTAGTCTATGGAGGAGCAGGAGATGATTACGTTTATGGAGGAGAGGGATCAGACATCATTCGTGGAGGAAATGGTAGTGATACACTTTCTTTTAAGGGAGATGGTTTCCTGCACAAGGGAGTCACTGTTGATTTAAACATCGGGTTTGGAAAAGGGGCAGACGCAGAGGGCGATATATATGAGAGCATAGAAAACGTATACGGAACAATACACAACGATGTTCTTATTGGATCTGACTCCGGAAACGAATTGTATGGTCTAGAAGGAGACGATACACTGTCCCCTCATGGTGGCAATGATAAACTTGTTGGCGGTGAAGGAAAAGACTTGTATTTACTCTATAATGCGTGGGGTTTAAAAATAATTGATAACTTTGCAAATGATCAGACTGAAGACACACTCTCTCTGGCTCATTTGAACTCCGCTGACGCTTGTGTTTTCTTACTTGGTGACGACTTATACATACAAATCGATAAATCCACATTGGCCTCTGTTCTTTTTCATGGAAGACGTTTAACGGTTATAATAAAGAATTGGAACGTGAGTGCAAAGTACAGTCACCTTAAAGTTTTGTTTAATGACACTTTATGGGAAGGCTACGCTTTATCGGGCATCTCTCCAGTTTTGGACAAATTAGAAAATAATGTTTACTTCATCGAAACAAGAACGAACTTGGAGCTTGTCTCTGCAAACCAGACTAGCGTGACTTTGTCTTGGAATCAACCAAGCGGTCTTTCAACAAGTTCGGAAAGTGAGTTGTACCTTGTACACTTTAAACAATTAGAACCCACAAGTTTAAAAAAGACACAACTACAGAGTCGGGCATCAATTACAGTTTCGTATCTTGATCCAACTTCCCATTACGTCTTCGCCGTAGCATTATCAAAATGTAATGCAACAATTGCTGTGTCACATACGCTTATAACCTATGGGCGTGAAAGATATTGTTCCTTGATTCAAGTACCGCACTCGACTGTTAATTATACAGAAAGTGAAAATGTTGCTAACGGTGTAAGAGTTCAAGTAGGATTAAAGCAAGCTCATGGGACAATTGCCAGCCTAAAATGTTATACTGGATATACCATTCGCAATCACCAAACCGAGCAAACTACGACATGCTTGGACCAAGAATGGGTACCCTCCCTTGCAGTTTGTAAGAAAATTAAAAGGTGTCCTGTTATCGCTCAGCCGTCAAACGGGGAGGTCTCTATCAAAGGACAAGTTGAAGGATCAAAAGCGCATTATGTGTGTCACAAAGGATTCTTTCTCAAAGGACCCCAGGTACGAACCTGTGTAACTGAATCCTGGGATGGGACAGTTCCCAGTTGTCATCCGCTACGTTGCCCGAGTCCACCACCGATTGATAATGGATCATATCTTCGATGTGATTACATAAAGTATACAAAGACATATGGCACAATGAATGATCCCCTTGCAGGATACTGTGTTAAGCTTAAATGTAGCAATTCCTTTCTTCCAAGTCATATATTTTATGGGAAGTCGTATCGACCTCGATGGGAAAGTGACTGGAAGATACCTCAAGGTGGACGAGTGTGTAGTGATGGAAAGTGGATTGGTTATGTGGACGACACTTGCGAACCCATTGCTAGACTTGTTTACGTGGGGGAACGCTGGAGTACAATAAGTGGCTTCCTTCAACTTTGGCAAAATGGTAGGTGGACCTTCGCTTCATCCACTCCGACACAACACACCCTCATCCTTTCCTGCAGGAGTGTGGGAATAGAGTCTCCTTCCTATGTAAAACATGGTTCAATGAGTTCCAAAATATTCGTAACATGCTCCAAGCTACGCTTTACTCAGCCGAAGCCAACTGTTTACGAAGGAAGGATTGAAATGTTAAATCAAGGCGTCTGGGAAGGATTATGCGTCACGGAAAGAGGTACACAAGTTGGAAGCAAGCCGATTTGTGAAGCACTTGGATTCAACTTCAGATCTGCAGTTGTGAGCATCAGTACTGGCTGGACAGACCACTGGCTTGATTGTAAAAAACAATCGTAAGTATATATTTTGGAAGAAGAATAATTCTAATACCAGAAAGCTCAGAAAAAATTCGGAGCACGAGGCTTCTAATTCTAGTTCTGGCACAGGGAACCCGAACGCTGTATTAGCTAATAGCTAATAAAATAATAAGATGTATTTACCTGTCTTCCTGTGTCTTTATGAGTCGTTTTAGAAGGGATTTGAATCCGATCATTGACGGTTAACATTGCTGGTTATCAAAATGCGTTTGCTTGTCTGGCGTGTCGTAAATAAGACGCTGAAATTTCGTATCACGTTTCTAATATTGTCATGTTAACTATTAACTCTCGATCTCCTTGGGAGATGATCTTGGGTTTTAATTTAAAGGTCACGGGAAGAGAAAAGAGAGAGAGAGTCTCTTTTCTCTTCTCATGGCCGTTAGAGGATTGTTAACAATATTAGAAACGGCCTGAGACCAAATTTGAGCGTCTTGTTTACGACACGCCGGACAAACAAACGTATTTTGATAACAGGTAAATACATCCTATTATTTTATAAGCTAATAATACAGCGTAAAATACATTTAATTATTCTATTAGCTAATACAGCGTTCGGTTTTCCTTGTGGTTCTGGCGCTATAACTACTGAGCTACTGGAGGCACAATGGTGAAACTGTATCGGGAACTTGCTCGATTATGTTCGATTATGAGCATTAATGACGAAAGAGAATTATATCACCAATAGCTAATAACAATTCCACTGTCAGCCGCTAGTCCTCTTCATGCGACAAGGTTCGATAGAAATTAATGCAGTTCTATTGGGTCTGGCTACTTTTCATATGGTTTGTCTATTAGGCCTTCCAGAGGCCTACTTATTTTAAGCTCGTTTGACGGGGGAGGTGAAAAGATAGGGAGTGGCTTAATATTAATGAGCGAAGATAATGGTATCAGTGCTCCATAAAGAACAAGAAAGCAAAGTAGAAAAGATTAAATACATAAGAGTGGTGAAGGTTATGCAGCAGCAAATAAAAGCAATTCCGAGCTTTTAGCAAGAGAATGAACCATACCAGAGCAAGTCGCATATTAAAGGATTTTTAATTACGTTGATAAAGAATCATAATCAGGAAGGGGACGGGTTTTCTTAAAAAGAAAGGGATCGGAGTATTAAATTTCTTTCCCTAAAAAGGGATGCTTCTGAGAGAAGACAGGTGCTTATTTGAGAGGGGGAGGGGAGTGTAAAAGAGGATTTGCGATACTTTGCTGTCTGACATATTAATGTTTCTTGGCGCAGTTACTGAGATCCCAAAATGCTATGCTTCCTAAAAAGATATAAAACCCTGTGATGAAGAATGTGCTAATTACGTTTGTGAATACATATTTCCTTTAGATCTGGTGCCCCCTTTTCAGGATGGCTGTTCGGAAAAATGTAAGTCATTCGTTTTATTGTATGGCTACAATACATAGTACGCACTGGTTGGCTGCTAATTAAACGGACATTATTTTCTTGTAATGAACAGGCATTACTAGCTAGGTGTCCAAGGCATATACAATCTGTTTTAACGTAATAGTGGACATCCTTTCCATCAATTAACCATGTTATAGTCAATTGGGTAGGTACTTTAAACATAGCAACACATGGTCCATAGAGTGTTTTCACATGACGTAACTGCGGCCATATTGGTGTCCCAAAACAATGAAACGGCCGCCATGTTGGTTTCCCGAACAAATCCTCTGGGAGTTGAACTCTTTTCTTATACAAACGCTTTCTTTTGTTTCAATAAATTTGCATAGATGCTGTCCACGTGAGTGAAAACACTCTATACATGGCTACATATGGTAACACAAATCACTATACGGCAATATGCTGTTACTGCTTTTACACAATTTTGATACAATTTAATAACCCTACTTAAACTACCTACCCAAAATTGACAGCTTTCAAAATGTTATCCGCTGACAAGTGCCACATAACTGTATCGCGGGCTAAAGTGTAAAACTCATGCCCTGCCCAGTTATTGGTTTTTTATGGATCACAGGCTCAGGTCGATAATGAAAATGCCATATCATCTGTCAACTGTAAATCTCACTCTCGGTTAATGAGTAATATGTGTGCCGTTCTATTTTATATTTATCATCTTCAGTATGATGCAATCTTAACTGTTTTGTCTGAGAGCAGACCGCGAATTACTGTAAAATAAGCAAACGCTTTAAAATATACAGCTTGAGTAGTAAAGTATACATTTTAATTGCCACAGTTTAAGCGCAGACGTTTCATTTGTCGATTGTTATTGCAACAAACCGGTTGCTAATTAGTGATAAGTGGAAATCTCGACTTATTCCAGTTTAAACTGTTCAGGTAAGATCAATGTAAATGTTAAAACACTATTCTTTTCTATTCATTTTTTTTTTTCAGACAAAACGTGGGATACAACCGAGAGAGGTAAAGCTCTAAAAAAAATTTTTTTTTCATTCGGGCATATAAATAGATTTAGACCCTCTTGTTGCAAAGAGAGAAGTTGTATTTGTGCTTGGGGTCTAAGCTAGAACTAGCAGTTCGCCTTAAATGAAAAGCAATTAACGCAAAACTCTTAAAATGTGGTTAAAACTGTGGATAGTTATTCGCCATCTGTTGCGGAGGTAATGTACACAAGGAGAATGTAAAAAAAAAAAAGGAAAAAAAGAAAAAAAAAACAGCAGGTTAAAAAAGCAAAACAGCAACTTGCACTTGTAATACAATTTTTTGTATAAATTCCTTTGCCATTCCTTCACGACCACAAGTTGAAATTGCCTAAAGCCCATTTATAGTTACAGGTCAAACGAGGCTGTGGTTGACCTTGTTTTGATACAGCCCTTTCATCTATATCATGTAAATCACGCGATGTTCTTATGCTAATTAGCTTTATTGTTGATATCATTTCCATTAGAAAAGAGGGTTTTTGACAAAGGTCAACCTCAGCCTCACGTTAACTTAGGGGGCTAGGGCACCAAGCCCACAACCTTGGACCTAAACAAGCGAAGGCGAATTTTTCTTGCTCTTTCTGAACTTGGAACTGGTTCTTGATGTGGCTCGATAGGGTTTTTCAGCGTCAATACCTCCCAGGTCAGAGCATAAACTACGTCGCCATTACCAAAGATCTGGAAAAATTATCACAACAGCTGTTTTATAGCTTATCGTGTAAAGTTGAAAAATTGTTATGATCAGGATTACAATGAAATCAGAGCTGTCATAGCAACGAAATGGCGCGATTACCTTATTACTTGCAGTTGTATTTCTTGGCACTACGCGTGCGATAAACGCGGATGGGAAGTGTGATTATGAAAATCACCAATAATAACAAACTGTGTTGACTGTTTGTCGTTTTTTTCTTTTTAAACATGAAGATGTTATTTGAAGAGAAAAAGACAGCATTGTAGTACAATGGTACGATGCAGACAGAGATGTACTGACAGTTACCCAGTTCCTCATGGATATACCACATGTTCGGAAACTAGTTATGAAGATGACACATGCGCAGTTCATTGTCACAACGATTACAAACTTAAAGGAGACTCTAAAGTCTACTGTCACGGAGGAGTCTGGACAAAGCAAAGCGGAAAACCCGCCTCATCTCACTGCGAAGATATAGGTGCGTATCAGTTTATTTTCCCCTAGCATTGCCATTCATATAAACAAAGTTTTTTGCATTCAAAATATCTTTAAAGGCCGTAACGCTATTTCTCATCCTTTTACTGTCCTTTGAAATTGCACGCGAGCTCTTAAATTTAAAATCCAACTTCACTGGGTTTTTCACTACTGTCAATAGGGACTTTAAGATCCAAAGACGCTGACGACAGCGAGAACGTCAAAAAACAAGTGGTTTAATTAGCAAAACAACAACTTCGCGCGTGCATCACACTTTTTCGTACATTTCTTTCCCGTTTTTGCACGACCAGGACATGAAAATGCCTAATTTCGCGTTTTATGGAGGACGTAAATTACCAACGACGAAATTTTATTTCTCCTTCTGAGCTTGAATTTGGTCCCTTGAAATTCAGCTTCAGGAGGGTTCGCCCACAATTGACGAAGTAAGTGGGTAGGAATAATCGCTATGAAGAATGAAAGAAAGCAATAGGCACACAACTTTTAGTTATTTTGTAAAGGAGAAGTCCAAACAAAACAAATCCTGTCTCATCCTACTGCGTTGAAAGTATAGAAAAAAATTAGAGAAAAAGAGAGGGAAGTGAAGAAAGCATCTTTTGAAAATAATTTGCAGAAAAGTCACGTTCACTAATTCGTATAAATCATCAATAAAAAACGTGAATCAATTCTAGGCATGCAACCTTTTTTTGTTGGCATGTCTTTATACCCATTTAGAGCTATTTAGAACATTAAAAAAGTTGTAATTTATTAAACTAGGCTAACCAGAATATAAGAATAATGAATGTGTGGTAACGTTACAACGGTATTACAGAGCTAAATCAGTCTGGAGCTAAATGTTAACGTAGAATCGGGAGAAGAGTAGATCACAACTCCAATTATAGTATGCCTCTTTCTTAAAAGTTAAAAGGGGGTGTTTATAGATGTCCTACATTACAGAGGGAAGCACAACTGAAGCACTGCTCTACGGAAGGTTTGGCTTTTACATCTCCATATTGATGATGATATCATATCGATATCAATCCTATTGCTTTCAATTTGATTTCAGACACTTTGTTCAGGAACGACCTTCAGAGGCTTGTTCGGGAAAACAGCAAAATGAGTCACCGTGACTTGGCAATATTCTTGAGGAATTACTTGGACAGAAATTATCCTAAACAATATTGGGTGGTTACAGTATATGACCCGGTTAAGGGCTTTGATAAACACACTTTTGCAGATGGCGATCGTGTTGGCAGCAAATTAAGATATTATGGGGTAAACTATGTTGTTTTCCGATATCCCAAATATGCCTCTCGCTCTCCCAGAGTGCCAATCTCCCGTGTCATAGGGTCGGTAACTGGAAGTGACGCTAAAACTGTTTGGTCAAGTATCGACAAAAAGTTTGCAGCAAATTTGCAAAGGTACGCCTTTCTCCACGTAATAAGGAAAATTAAGCAGTACCTTAAGTATTATGGTTACGGGAACTGGAAACCGATCGTTTTGACAAATTATTACACTACAAAATCTGAATCATTTCCATCACAAAATTATTTTCATAAAGAGTTTCCAAATGTTATAGTCATTGCCGTTGCTCCTGGAAATTATATTTGAGAGTATTAATTTCAACAGAATATGTTAATATGTTCAGTCAACACTATGATGGCATTTTATTTGTATGGTCATATCTTAAGCTATAAGTGACATCGGGTGTAGCCAATATTGCAGGCGTTTTTTTAACGGAAAGTCCACAAAATTTAATTCATCCATCCATCCATTCATCCATTCATTCATTCATTCATTCATTCATCTTTTCGCAGCCGCCATCTTGAAAAAGTAAGCAGTTCAGAGCATTTCCACTTTTGGAAATGTCTTGATCCGCGACCAAAACAAACAATTACCCAATCATGGTGCAAATTTGGAGTCATGTAGCCTGCGAACGTGCAGACGTATTTCCGATCGTCTCTTCTCTCCCTCCGAAAAACGGAGGATGAGACGCGACGAGCGGGGCAATCTCCCGGGGCTTCAATCTGTACCGTCCACGCGGATCCGAGTTCGTTCAAGTTGCTTTTGTAAACCTAACCGCGGTAGGCGGGAAGGATATCCTGGTTCAGTTAAGGAAAGCGAAATTTGTGAAGACAACGGTTCTAATTTCTATTTTTACTGGTCGGGATAAACTGTTTGCAGAAAGAGGAAAAGTTTTCGAAGGATTTCGGTCTCTGAGAAAACGGTTTATTGTGGGCCCAGCGTGACAAAACTTAGGAGGGATTTATCATGCAGTAATTCCCAATTAACCAGGCATTTCGGAGAAATCTAAAGAAACTAAAAATCGTTATTGAAAGGTTATTAATAGTCGCAGTAAAAACCTATAAACCTTTCATAGACGTCAAAGAACTAAAATGCTAAAACTCTGCATCAGAGGCGAAATCCCGGTCAGATACAAAGACCACAGGAAATCAATTTGCTTGAAAAGACCATCTTCATGACCTCTAAATGTTTATGCAGCTTGCAAAAATAATTTAAAATTTCGAATTCAACAATACACAACAGCATAATTAACCCGCTTGAAATGGCATTTTTACACGATGCGAGCCATGCGAAAGAAAAATAGAAAAATCAGTGATACGAAAAAACATAACCGAAAGCTAACCGTTACAAATGAGTGTTTAACGCCAAAAAACGCCTAACCTGAATCCGTAACTTTTTTTTCTCAAAAGCAGCGTTTAACACTAATCCGTAAAGCGAGTGCTTTTTTCAACCCTAGTCAGCTGAGTCAGTAAGCCCTGATCAACACTGCGTAATTCTGAAAGTATTCTCTCAGCAAAACCTCGGAACTAAGCAGGGAAAACTTTTCATGCATTGACAATTTTATAAAACTCTATTTTTTCTTATGGCTCGCATAACTCGCTGGGTCGCAGATTTTCCGGATCCGGTTAGCTTAATTAACCCCAGGAATAACATGTAAAAAGGTCAATAACCAGTAACTTTTTCGATCTCCAAGTTCTGTTACCAGTTTTTATAAATAGGTTCCGTGTTGCCGTGCGATCACAGATGACGTCAAAATGTGGTAAAAACAAAGAAGTTGCACAACGAGCCGCAGGCGAGTGTGTCCCCGATGGTTTCACCACATTTTGATGTACCGCGTCTTCTGTGATCTATTACTGAACAGACCCACGGCAACATCGAACCTGTTTGTTTTATACAATGATCAGAAAAGAAAAAAGACCTATACAACGCAGCATTGATAATGGACCACTAGTTGGATTTTATTATATGTTGTCGGTGGACAAGTGGTTTAAACCGTAAAAATAACGCTTGATCCCGTCCAAAATATAGGCCATGTAACCTCTGCCTTCGTGTTGCTCTCCACGCAGAAGGCGGTCATTTTGCTTCAGACTATTGCTTCGCAAAAAATCCGGCGTTCCTTCTACTAGATGTGCAACCGATCTCCACATTTCACATGAAAAAGCTAAAATATCCCAAGAATGTCCAGATGATTTTTTCAAGACCCGAAAAAAGTTTTTACGAGCGATATTCCCAAGTGAAGATGATAATATAGCACGCAAAATTGACCGAAAATTGACACGTAGATCAAAAGAAAATTTCACTTTATCTAATATTTCAAATCCATTGTTCATTACTTTATGCACAAGCCTTCTACCGTTTCTTCTTCGTTGTTGTGTTACAAAAAGGCGAGCAAAGACCGCTGGAAAAACGAGAAACACAAGAGATTTCCAAGCCCACTCGAATCCGCTCGAGGATATTGTAACCATCACGCTGTGACGTGACACCATTGTTTCGCACATTTCCAAAAGTGGAAAAGCTCTGGACTGGTAAAAGAGAGGGGTAGGGGAGGCGGGGAGAAGCCATGTTTACCTCATAATCATTTTTTGACTTGCCTGAGCTCTCTGTCAGTTTTTAAGTTCGAGATGGCGGAAGGGCATTGACCTATGATAAAGGCATTTGGAGAAAAGCCCGGGGGGAGGGGCGGGGGGTACTGCCATATATATGGGCTATAGTTGGTTTTCATGCAATCTCGGGAGACACAAATAACAATGGTGAAATGAACAAATGCTAGTGGACAAACAAAGAGAACTAATGAGCGATCTTTTGTTTACTGTCCACCAGCATGGCGGCGATGACGTAACGTGAAAACCACCCTATAAAGGTATGTGCCGCTGTGAAGGGTATGGTTTTCAAGCAGTTTACTCTAGGATAGGGTATATAAATCAGAGCGCTTGGGTCTATAATAGGGTATCATTTTTCAGGAAGCTGATCAGTTGGTTGAACATGTTATCTAGACTAGGGATTGTGGTATAACTTTTTGTTTTGGCTAGACTGTGTTAGTGACCTCAGTAGTTTCTGGAAAACAGCTACTCAGCTGAGCTACTCTAGGATAGGGGGATTTGGGGAGTTTACTCTAATATACGGTAGCAAAATTCAGCTGAACTAGCTCTGGTGTAGGTTAAGGGTCCCAGCGGCACATCCCCACCCTGAAATTCCTAAAGTACCCCCCCCCCTCGGGGGGACAAAAGAAAGCGTTAAATAAAGAAAAGAGTTTACCACCCACAGCATTGATTTGCAACGCCAACATGGCTCCTTGTACTTTGAAGCTGCTATGTTGCAGTGAGTTCCACATTTTTTGGTTAAAGTCGACCTGAAATGATAACAAAGTATGCTTAGTAATATCAATTTTTTCATACTAACACGGAGCTCAGAAAGAAAAATATAAAATGATTCGATCAGTTGGAAATCAAAACTTAGTAAACTTTTGGTCATTTTCGAGAACTCAAGAGTCTAACTAAAAACATAGGATTATTTTTGACACAAAGTGTATTGTCAACACTAATTTATACTCGTTAAGTATCTTAACTCGCTCGCGTACTGCCACTTTGTTCCATTTAACATTAGACAAGGCTAAAGTAGCAAGATATCTAAACGGCACAACCTAGAATAAAGATTACAGTTTTAAGGATCTGAGTGATCATGACACTGCCTTAGAGTGCAGTTGATGAAGAATAAACTTAGGTTGGTCCAAAACTAGTGGCTTTATTTTCTATACTCCCATTAACTTATAATTAAGACCCGTAAAAACGTAACCAGCGATCGGTCGTTTCGTTGTATGACTGATTGATTGATTGATTGATTGATTTGAGAAGATGCGATCGCAAGCTAGTCACAAACTTTGCGAGGTACGTTTTCCTTCGGCTAAAGCCTTAGTCAGCCGCTCCTGACTTAGTTTCTACCGAAGCCACATGGAAGGGTATTCTCGGGGATCCGGGAATTGAAATAAAAAGCGGGATACGGAAAAACGTCAAATTTCTTGGCGGGATAAGGGATTTGGTGCATATTTGATAAGGGATTTGGCGCGGGCTACGGCATGTTATTCGGAAAAGAGGTAACAGAGGCTCAAGCTACGGAACTGTAGTGAAAAAGGAGGGGAAATGAGGGATAAGGACCTCCCCTTCTAGACCTTCATATGTGCTTACCTCAAACTCAAGACACGCTAAATAGAGCGTATTCACAGGACGTCGCGGCGGCCATATTGGTGTTCCAAAACAATGAAACGGCGGCCATGTTGGTGTACCAAGACAACCCCGTTTGAATTGAACTCTTTTCTTATGTAAAAACGTTCTTTTGTTCGTATAAATTAGCATAAACGCTGTCCTCGTGAGTGGATACGATCTATATATTTTATCAGAATATTAAGACTGAAATTTGTTAAATTTTAAGAATATTTTAAGAATGAACCCGAGGCTGAGAGTTTGAAAAGGACCCAATTCTGTATGTTGAAAATCCGTAAATGCAGCACAATTATATGTTTTGACTTAACCGTATAAACATGATTATTCCTTTCCCTCAACGGCGCTGGAGACAGATCTAAACCCCAAAAGAAATATAAAGTAGAAATGCCATACGCTATTAATAGTTTGTAATTAAGAATAATTTAAGAATATTTCAGCCTCAGCTAAAATCGACTGATAAAATAAAAATATTCAGCCTGGAACGGAAAAACATAAAAAAAAGAGTGTAACATAAAACATAAAAAAAGAGTGTATGGGAAATAAAATACCACGGGCGCAAATGAAACTATGAGAACACACAATCACGTCAGTACCCACAATTCTTTAGGGATAAGTTTCCAAACTGAATTGGTCACGTTGCGTGAAGAGTCTAGCACTCGTTTATGAAGGTATGTTTTAAACGTCGTTGGCATGCTCCCTATGGTAAGAACTTGCAAGAGATGTCCAAGAAAACCGTTTTTAGATAGACGATTACTATGGAACCCCGCTTTACGAACACCCACATAATACGGACGGTTTTTCTTGCCCCGGACAGTTTTTCTTGCCACGAACCCTTACCTCCCCTCCCCGTTCCTAGTTCAATGCCAGTCGATCATGTCTTTACAGAAGTCCCACTTCAATTCAATATTGAATAGAATGAATTGAATTCAATTGAATTGAATGAATTCAATTCATGTTTATCCCTTTTAAGTCCAATAAATAGTTAATACTTTCACCTCCTTTAACAATTTTTTTAAATATTTAATACAATTGACGATTTAGAAATGTCTTTTAATAGGGAATAAATCAAATTAGATCAGAAGTTTTTTT